TGCACATATTGGATTATTTGTTTGTAAAAACAGTTTTTATAGATACTTGAAAAAAAATATCAATTTTTTAATAATTAGTTTGTTTCATTCTTTGCCAAACTGTAATGAAATTAATTTGAATAATACCAAATTCGTTGTAACTTAAGTTATTGAAATACAAAATTTGGTGAAACGTTAGAAACTTAAATTTCTTCCTCACAGCTGAAGCATATCAAAAAGCATCAGCATTACAATAAATTGAGACGCAAAGAAATAAAAAACCAGAAAATAAAAATAATTTTTGAGTATTAAATAAACATGTTAATTGTTTTACGAATTTTTTACGGGTGGTCACTTTTACGATGATAAATGTTCAAAAACGAAAGAAGAGAAATAAATTGAAACTGAAGATTAAAACAGTAGTCTGCTTAAATATTTTTTATTATTTTATTTCACTTTTATTTATTGTTTTGTCAGAGAGTGAGAGATATTTTTGGACTGTTCCATAAACAATCATTTATAGTCATCACTCGAAAATTTCTCCAAGTGTGACGAAATAACATAAAATTTTACTAAGCACATGCTGCACACAATTCAAAACCATAAGTCACCGAAAATATTGAGAATGAGAAGTACTTTTGGTCATTCTCAATAAAAAGTATTTAAAATGACGACTATCGATCGTCAATCGCAATGACTCAGCAACAAAGAAATACATTTCTTCTGAATATAATTTACGTGTGCACGTTCAAATGAATAATAACAATTTAATTTACGCTTGTGTAAAAAGGGCTCAATTTAATTTTTATTATTTTTAAGTTGTGGGTTTTGTTTTGTGTCATAAATGAGGCGAGGTCCAGTAAATTAGAGGTGATCGACACATCACACGTGTCATAAAAAATGAATTAGAACGGTTGTTTTTTTTTTCTTTTGTAATTTCAAAGTAAACAGAAGATATTTCATGACCATTTCATATACTGAATTATAAAAAATTCTGAATGGCTTCAGGGTATATTCTAAATCAATAAAAAGCTCAATTCAAAACCGGTCATTGTGACTATGGTTATGTAAACAATAATTGAATCCAGGTGATGTCCTAATATTGTTAACTGTTTCATTGTTACTTTCTATATAAAGAATAAAATTTTATTTTTTCATGTTTATTTTTATATAAAAGGAGTGATGCCAGATGTATTGAAGAATATAAAAAAAATTGGAAACATTCTTGGAGATTTATTATGTCATCAACAATTTGGAATTTGAAAAAAAAAAGATTTTAATCTAATTAATCACGGAATTTAATTGAATTAAGCCCAATGACAAATTAATTTATGAAATATAAATTAAACATTGAATAAAAACAAATTAATTGCTATTTATATTTATAATTCTGATTATTTGTTATGCATATAATTATAAAATCATGAAAAACAAATGCGAAAATGATCACAGATCATTAATGAAAATGTTAACCAAAACTATGTTTATGTGAAAGGAACATTAATTTTTATTTATTAAAAAGCATGAAAAATCCAAATATTATTTATTAATTAAACATTGTTAAAACCATCATCATTGATTCACGGGAGCTAAATATATGTGTATACAAAATATAACAGCACACATGTTTGTTATTATTGACTAAAATCATTATTGTATTTGTTTAAATTTTTATTTATTGTATAAATTATTATATATTGTTTTAAGTTCTTTTCAACATCAACAATAAAAACTATGAATGTATACAATCTATACACACAAATCATATTAAAAAATCATCATTAGCAGTCAAAGAGTCTTCAGCTTGAAAATTTTGTTGACTGTTGCTATTTGTGACTTTTTAAAGTCGCGCGACTGATTGATGAGAGAAACATTTTGTTATTGACATAAGGAATTATTTTCAATTAAAAGTCAGTGGATTGTCAATAATTAATCAGATGACGGTAATAATGATGCTATTGGAATTTTAAGTTATTTACACAAGATGATTTTTCGGAATTGTTCAAATAACGAATTTAAGTTAATCAATATTTTGCATAATATCGCTCAGAAAACATCATTGAAAAATTGATACAACGGGATTGATAAAAATGTGTTTATCGTAATTAGATAGCTATTTGATTTACATCAATGTAAACTGATAAAACAAGTATAATACAATTGACTGACACTCAGAAGTTATCAAATTTTCGATGAGTAAACATAAAATTACAATTGATTACTAATCAGAGATACCTGAATTTGACAGTTTTTAAAAACTGTTGTGACTTCAAAAAATCTTTTTGGCGGTTGATTGTTATCAAAGAAATTTATTGTTTATTCTGATTTATAACTTTCATTTTTAATGTTTAATATTTCAATTGCAGAAAATAAAGATAATTTTTAAATTACTCATCATTAAGTTGTAAAACATTATCACAAATGAATGTTAAAGAAAATAAATGTCTATCCCAAAAGTAGAAAAGATTCGTGTGAACAAAAAAAAATAAAAGATGATAAGACTTTAACTTTGATTTTAAAAGTGATATATGTCATATGTGCCAAAGAACTTTAATGAGTTGTCAGACGTGAGTCACTAATTATCATTACACATATTTTTATCATTTACGATTGTTTGAAGAAAACTGAAAGAAGATCGAGAAATGTGTCTTTAAAGAATTTTTAAAGAGGTAAAAAAATTATAAATTCAGTTTTTTCTCCTTTTTATAGCACAGCACTCAAAAAATTGACAGTAATTAGCACGTTCCCGAAGAATCTTCTTTATAATGATGCTAAATTTTTCGTCGCTATTGAAATTTTTGAAACAATAATTTAAATTATTCGAAATCCAAATTTAGATCAATTAAATAACACTAATATAATATAATTAATATTTCAGTTATCCTTTATTCAATTGAAAATTAATCACTTTGTAAATATTTTTACATTTTTATCACAGTTCAATATAAGGTATGTATTAATTTTTTTCACTAAAATATTTTTTTTTTCTCTTCTTGTTATTAAATGAAAATTTCTTTTTAAATTCTTTTAATAAAATACAATAAGTAATAATAATTACCTTTCTCAAAGTGCTCATCGAAATAGTCACATTAAGAAAAATTCTTTCGATTAAATATCAATCCAGAATTTATTCTCAGTGTTATCAACAGAAGAGAAATTGAAGTGAATTCAGTTGACAAAAAAAAAAACAATATTTTATTCCTTTCTTGTTTCCACCGAAGATGTTATATTTTTGCGACGATGATAAATTTTATAAATGCGTTTATGTGAGATTACACACATTCAAACAAGCATTTGTGTGTGTGTTAGTATCACCATCTTAATATTAAAATATTTTTTCATCATATCTATAGGAAAAAAAATTTCCATTTCACAAAACATAATGAAAAAGAAAAAAATTTCCTGCAGCTCTTAGTCATTCACAATGTATCCGCCCATTTCACATTTCATTGATATACTTCATTTGAATAGATTCTGATAGTTACGATATACTGACAGCATACGATTGGCTATTGTCAGTATACGTTTGTGTTGGATTTCAGGTTTTACAATAAAAAAATTTCAAACACATTCGAATTGACGACACACACACTTAGAAATATTATGAATAATGTATGAAAAAAGATAATACTATGAGGTGACTTACCTATATATGGAAAGTCTTGTTGTTGCTTTCCTATTGCATAAAATATCTATAAAATTGACTATGTATTAGTGAGTATTGCGCATATCGCAAACACATCTACAACTTATAGTTTACATTTATAATTTTGGAAGATATCTCTTCTCTTTTTGTGTTATATTTCGAATAACAATATTTTTTGGAAAGCCAAATAGTATTCGTTCCCCTCAGCAAACAGTCGCATCTCTTAAAGCGTGTAACAATATAGAAGGAAAAAAATAGCAGTATAACTTTTATTCATAATTCAAAGTAGAACTGTACTGAAAAAGACTTGAAAGTTTTTCGACTCTGGAAGTGTTTTTCTTTTCTTCTCTCAGTGATCCACTGGCTGACTACAATCATATTATTATTATTTCGAGATTTTTCGGGGATAATAATATTTTTTGTTGAAGATTCTCTTTATTTTATTATGTGATTTCGTGAACATTGAACGCACATCGTAAGTGATGCTCAGTTAATAATAAAAATTAAAAGACAAATTAAATTAATAAAGAGAATTATTAAAAAAATAAGTTCGCGCGGGAAATTAAAAAAATTTCTTTTTGTGAAATAATCCAAAAAAAAAAGAAAATAAGAACTGATGAAATTTTCATAAAGTGAAGAAAAATAATCTACACAAATTCACACACACACACACACATAGTGTAAGGAAAACTTTATTATACAAGATAATCATTTTCATAACAGGACATACAATCAAATAAAAGTGGAGAAAGAAAAGTTGTGTAAAGATGAAAATATATATATATATGTATACATATAAAGTGAAAATGGTTATATAAACATAATAGCACAGCAGAAAGTTGAATCCTTTTTCTGTATGACATACGAAGAGAGACAAACAGTGTCTATTTGTTTTTTCAATCAGTAAAAACGTCTCTGTTTGATTGCAACGAGTCAACATTTATTGATACAAACGTATATACACAGAGTGTGTTTTGTAGATATAGTGAAGAGTTTGTTAAACTTTTTTATGCTGCGTCGTGTATTGAGAATAGTTTTCATCATTTTTATACATTTTGTGGATTTTTTTAAACAAACCTGTTGCAAATTCTAAGGAAAAAGCAAATGAGAATAAAACAAAAAGATTATAAAGTGAACAACAAATTCAGAACTTTAAGAACAAATTGTGAGGTTTAAACTTATTGATTGTTTGAAAAATCAACAGAGTTGAATGAACTTGTATTTTGTATAAATGATAAAGAAAAATCAAAAGCCGATAAGTTTCAATGTTATGGGAAATACTTTTGTGTCGTGATGATATCAAATTTCTAATTCAATAATTTAGATTAAATCAATTAACAGCGAAGCATTTCGCAACAAACTTTAAGGAGAATTTGTTTTTAAAAAAATTAACACTGTCGACTGATACTCGAAACTTTGAATATATGAAAGTGGAGGACGAGTTAAGAGCCATGCAAAAACTCTACGCTGAGACACCCATAAGTAGTTCGGGGATGGCAGTGAACCCGAACAACAACAATAATAACAACAACAACCCAAATGCAAATAATGGAAACTTAAGTCCAATGACACCATCATATACAATGAATACAATGGGTATGACGGGAATGCCTTCAGTGTCTCCACAAGGAAACGGAGCAGGCTCATTTGGTGGTGGAAATGGAGCACTCTCAGCATCAAATATGAGCGCTATGAATTCAGCAATGAACGCCATGAATGGAAATTGTATAACCTCAACTCCGATAGGATATGGATCTATGGGATCACCGCTTGGTAATATGGGTTCATGTATGGCTTCAGGAATGGGTACTATGGCATCAATGTCTCAATATACATCAATGGGAAGTCGTGATCTCACTGAGCCTGGTTCTCCAAATTCAGCAATATTACAACGAGCTCGAGCGGAAAAACCGACAACGTATAGACGAAGTTATACTCATGCGAAACCACCATACAGTTATATTAGCCTAATCACTATGGCCATTCAAAATAATCCTCATAAAATGTTGACATTAGCTGAAATTTATCAATTCATTATGGATTTATTTCCATTCTATCGTCAAAATCAACAGAGATGGCAAAATTCTATTCGTCATTCACTAAGTTTTAATGATTGCTTTGTAAAAGTTCCACGAACGCCGGATAAGCCAGGAAAGGGATCTTTTTGGACATTACACCCAGACTCTGGAAACATGTTTGAAAATGGTTGCTATTTAAGACGTCAAAAAAGATTCAAAGATGAAAAGAAAGAAGCAATTAGACAATTACATAAGAGTCCATCAAGTAGCATTGATAATCACAGTCCACAAGGCAAAAAGGATTTACATGAAGAACATCACCATCATCGAGATCATCATAAGGGTATACCTGATGCACACATGCTGAATTCTGTACATGGTAAAGATGCAGATACATTAGCTATGCTTCATGCTACCGCAGATTTATGCTTAGCTCAACAATCTCATTCACATTCACAGCATGGTACGCATCACCATCATCAGCAATTACAACAAGAGGATATTGCTTCTATGGTCAATAGATGCCATCCATCATTACTCGGTGATTATCATTCAATGCATCATTTAAAACAGGAACCAAGTGGTCATTATACGCCATCAAATCATCCATTTTCAATAACACGACTTTTACCTACCGAGTCTAAAGCAGATATTAAAATGTATGAAATGAGTCAATACGCCAGCTATAATGGAATTAGTCCTTTACCAAACTCACATGCTGCCGCCGCACTAGGTCAAGATTCCTATTATCAAAGTTTAGGATATCATCCATCAGCTGGTACAACAAGCTTGTGACATCAATATCCAATCGCTTAGTAACAACAACAGCAGCATTTCCAACAAAACCATCAAATGCACCAGCAACAACAACAGCAACAAAATATTACTCAACAATATCGAAACACTCAGCAACTATTTCATCAACAATATGTAAAATATAAAAATATCCAAAATCACTGATATCTAAACAAAAACTCCAGCAGTAAATTTGATTAGAGATTTCGATTTTTTTGTTATACATTTAATGAAAAAACAAATTGAGGCATAGTTGTTGGTTTTTTCTCTTTGCGCTCGGTTTAAAAAAGAGAAAAACTCAAAATTTGTTGAATAAAAAACAAAGCAAAAAAAAACACTCGTATAGTTTAAAGAAGCCATAAACACATCATTTTATTAGGGTAAGCTTAATCTTTCAAAAGATATGAATTGAAGAAAAGGAATACAATTATTTTCAAATAGACAAACTTTAAATAATTTTTAATTTTATTTGAAGAAAGGTTAAAAATTGTATTTTCAAAAATAATATGTTGAAAAAATTAGATTTAATTCGAAAACTTTATGATTTTTCTAGTGCAGAAATGAAAAAAAAAATTTTAGCAACAAAATATTCAATTTTCTTCAAATCCGACGGAAAATTATGCAATCATAATTTTTTTTTGTCAGAAGTAAAAGATTAAATAATTGATCTGATATCTGTTTTTTTTTTAATTTTTATATGGCTATAATTTTTTTAATTCTTTGGTATTCAAAAAATCTCAAAATTGGCAAATTCTGAATTTCATTTTTCTTTATATTTTAAATTTTATTTTATCTAATTTATAAGTTCAATATAAAATTCATTGTGCAATTATTGTATTGAAGGAAGTAAAAAAAAACTCAAGCAAACGTTAGAAATTTCAATTTTATTTATTTTTCGTTCATCATTGTATGATTAAAACGTAAAGTGAAATTGAATATTATGTGAATCTAATTGAAAGGAATGTAAATATTGTAAATTAATCATTAAAAATATTCAAAGAAGGAAAAACTGAAAGAGGAAGAAGTACAGAAAAAAAGACACGAGGGAAATTTTAAAATATATAAAAATAAAGATTATAGAATATAAGAATGAAAAGATTGAGATGAAAAGAAAAAATGGAAGAGCATCTAGTAAAATAAATCAAGATGAAATGTTTAAAATGAAACATCTGCAATGTTTTATCCATTTGCTATCATCTCTTACTGGCAAAACTCATTTAATAACATTCTTTCCTATTCTTTTGAAACTCTTTATTTAAAAATCGTAATGTTTGATTTTTAAAACTTCACTATAATAATAAATTGATATATACATAGATAGAATTTAATTGAAGTAAAGAATCCCGATTCCTAAACATTATGTAGCGAATAAATAATAAAGATATAAATTGAGAAGTAACTGTAAGAAATTTAATTAAAACACATTGTAAGATGATTATAATAAAATATCTATTACATGAAAAAAAAAACAGAGAAAAGTTTATTCAAAAATTTGTAAAATAAGACCACCATAATAAGATATAATTAGAATTTATCCTTTTTGTCACGAATGAAAAGCTACTATAAATTAATGATAAAAAAATGAAAGAAAAAAAACATGAAATATAGAAATTATTTCAATGAAAAATTTAAACAATTTTTTTTATTTAAGAAAATTTTCATTTTCAGATTGTTAAGTATCAGCAGATTTTTCTTTCAGTTTTAATATTTAAAGGACCAATTAAAACATATTCTTTATAACATTTATAAACAACAAAAAATATCGATAGGTTATTGTGTTATGAATTTTATCACGGCTTCAAAATTCCTCCATTTCGAAATATAAAGCTTAAAGTTATTTTATTATAATTTTCTTTTTCTGTATTTCCTATTTTCACTCCTCCAATTCTCCATTCACTCAGTAGACACTCTTTTCTAGATATATAGTTACATGCTATGAGTTTTTCCCTCTCGTTATCGATTTTTCCATTACGGGTTTATATGCTCATCATGTGTTTGTAACTTGCTTGCTGGAAAACATTTATTTTCTCCCCAATAGCAATGAAAAATTCCACTGGCGCTGTATATACTATAATAAAATGAGAGAGAAGAAAAGTAGGAAGATATTTTTCAAAATGGCGTTTAGTGAAAACGTGCTACATATCAAAGTTGCAAGAGTAAAGATTTTACTGATAAATTCGACATAAAAACTAAAGGAATTTACATATTTAACGTCGGCATTTATGCATCTTGTGTATTCATAACTACTGTCATTATATAACATTTGAAAAATATCACTAAGACTTGAGTATAGAGTTGACTCAAATATTAATTAAAACAAAAAAAGAATGAATTTTAGGCTGTCAGACTTTAAGATCCATAGCTTTATAGTTTAACGAGTGATGATTCGCCAGACCTCCCGCTCAAATATCACAATGTATGTCCTAAGATAAGCAGTAATGCATTAAATCATTGCTGGTTTTTAATATTCTTATTTTGATTCTGTTACAATAGCTTGGGCTTTAGTTTCAAACCGAATCTATTTTTTTTTTATAATAAGAGTGTTTAAAACTGTGGTTTCTACTAGCTTTGCAATAAAAACTTTATCCTAAGAAAAATTTATGGAAACTTTACATCAAACGGTTTTCACCTTCACATTTTTTTTTGTTAGTTTTAAAGATATAATTTAAAACCGTGATTGAATGTCTATAAACTACTTTTGATAAAAATTAAATACACAATTAAACTTTTGAAAGCATTTCAAATCTTACTCATATTTAATCATATCGTTTTCAAGTTAATAAATAAAAAAATCATTAATTCAAACTCAAATACTTCTCTTTAATGAAGTTTTAAATAAAATTGACATATCTATATATGATACATTAGTTCAAAAATACCTCTCATAGGAAAATATTTATACATACATATAAACGCAAAAAATTCAATTTCAACTGGGTCAACTGTCGTTGTTTATCTTTGCAAAGTAAAGTAAAAAAAAGAAAGAAAAGGAGGATAGAAAGAGAAAGATAGAGAGAAAATATATTTTTCCAAAGGTTGATTCGAGACAGTTTTTTTCTCTGGTAAATAAAAAGATCAATATTGACACGACATTTTAAACTCACATTAAATACGAAATGATTTAAATAAGTTTCGTCACATTTTGAATTTTTTTTTTCTTCAATAAATCCATGACTTTAATTTTTTGTGCATCACATATTTTTCAAATCTAATTAAACAAATTCTTTTTTCTTATAAAATCGGGAGAAATTAAATACAATATTTCATTGATGCTGACAACAAAAATAAAATAAAAAATTCAAGTCTCGTTATCATGCAGTATGCAGAAAGCATTAAAATGAAGCACTTAAGCATCAGCATAAAAGGCCTCAGATCATATATATATATATGTGTATACAGAGAGAGAAATCACAATCAGCATATTTTTTGTCGTTGTCTGCATAAAAGAGTAAAATTTTTTCATATTTATACCTATCTCGACAATTTATATATATACTTCTCTGAGGAAAATAAAACATGAATGATTACCGAAGTGAAAATTTAGCGGAGTAAACGTGCAGAATTCTGCAGAAAAATTTTCCATTGCAAAAAGGAAGGAATTTTATTGTACGCGCGAAAAATTATGGAATTTATATGTATGTGCAAACATTTTTTTTGTGATTCACAAGATCATAAAAAGCGCGGTTTTATGTTGCTGCACACATAAAGTGTACAAAAAAGAAAAATCACATACCGCACAGCTTCATTTCAAAACAAACTCAACATGTCGCTGTCATCAGCAGTATAACAAAAAATGATAATGGATTTAAAAAGTGGATTTCTTTCTGCTTTGCAATTTTTCTCACTATATAGGAATGATGAGGAAACGAAATCGTTAGCCGCATAACATGGTTAGATGCAAAAAATCAGTCTGATTTTGTGAAAGTGAGCTAAAAACATGATTCTGTTTAAAAAAAATTAATGTTTTTCATTTCAAAATTAAAATGATAGAATGCATGATGTTAAAAAGAAAAATTGCTGTTATCTTCAGACTATTTTGAATTTATGTTTTTATTGAGTCAACAATTGATTATCAAGACTCAGGTAACTTACTCAACAATTTTTCCAGTATTTTTGAAAAGCAATGTTTGCAATGAAACCTTAACATGTGCTATATGAACGAGAAGTAGACGTATAAGGATGAGAAAATGCATTTCCTCTTATCGCTAGGCATATTAATTTATCGATTTATGTACTCGAAAAAGTGACTCTTATCAAAATGTTTTCATTCTGTTATTGATTTTTTGCCTTCTTATCATACATTTTTTTATTCATAAATTGATTGTGCAAATAAAGACAGTAAGTGTTGATCACTCTCTTATCATTCTGTCTCTTTTCTCTCTATCTTTTCATGTCGGAGCTTTATTTTATTTTCAGTTATCGAACAAAATCGATTATTTATTATTTGTATATTCGTCTTTGGAAAAGAAATAAAGTTTGAAAATTCAATGACGCGTCTCTCACATTATTTTTTCACTTTGTTCTGCCTCTTTCTTTATATTTTATACTTCTTATTTCTTTCTATTTGCTTAGGTCTTTACCTTAAATTTAATTTAATTTTTCCTTTCCTTATGAAATACACATCTTTTTTTAATGTATACCTTTTCATTTTTTTTTTATTGTTTTTGACTGTAAAATTAAATTGAAAATATGAATGTTTGTGATTTGATTCAAACCGACATTTAAGTGGGCATGAAAAATATAATTTACGCCATTAAATATGATAACTTTATATTTCATTATATTACAAAAGTTTTCGATTCTTCATTAAAGCGGTGTCTTTCATTGATTTTTCATTCTGTTTTCTCTCTGTTAAAGACTCTAACATTGTTATGCTATTTTATGCTTCTTCTTTTTATTCCATTTTATAAAAAAATTGTGCAAACACTCGTACTATGTATTTCAGATTATCGATTTTTATTTCTGAATGCTCTTCAAAAAAGAAAAACAAAAATGTAAAATTGAAAAAAAAATAAATTTTCTTCGTTGCTTTATTGCTTTTTAAAGTTTATATTGCGACAATTTTTATTAAAATGCTTTACTTTAGGGAGGTAAATTTCTGTTTTTTTTCCTACCTTGTCATTGCTGCTGCATATTTAAGTCTATGTATGTGTATATAAGATTTGGTGATGCTGGCTGTTTATACACAGTATATAAAAATGT